GGGTCTTTGGTCTTTGGTTCTGCCAGGACCTCGGCCTTGAAGATGCTAGACCCCATTCACCATCTGAGGCTTTGGCTCTGCACCAGGGTTTTTTCACACTTCTCCAGTCCAGAGTTTGTACGCTGAGTCCCACGAACCTCCTCTTCACCTCCGTCATTTGCAACTTTCTTAACGATATGCTATCAAGCTTCGATCCTTACCACGGCATCCCACCTGAGATTGTGTCTTTCTTCCTCGGTGGGCAATGCTCTTTCAGAATAGATGGTCTGCTATTCCTCCCTTTGGCCTTCGTATCTGGGCACAACTGGCTGAATTGGGTCTGGTATTGGATGACATTGCTGTCCCCAATGATCAGTGCATTCCACCATGACTTATTACCACTGAGGAATACGGATACTTCCGATTAGAAGTACCGTCTTCTTTTTGCTGAACATCTTTCAAGCCATTCTTCTCTTCCTATTTACACGGATAGTTCGAAATTGGGTGACTCTGTAGGTTCTGCCATGGTGTGATGTGGTTCGGTAGTTGCTCGCAGGATCTCTCTACAGATTCTGTGTTTACTGCTGAGTTGTATGCTATTTCTCTTGCCCTGGATCATGTAGAAGCTATGCAGTACACTAATTGTACTATTTACACTGATTCTCTTAGCTCTCTACTGGCCCTGGAATCGCTTAACGTTAGTTCTAACCCTGTTCTCATCAATATTCAACAACGACTGGCCCAATTTTCTCTATCTTCTGTTTCCATCCAGTTTTTCTGGATACGTGGCCACGTCAGTATTCATGGAAACGAGCTCACTGACACTGCAGCTTAGTCCGTCTGCTCTGGTGCTGTCATGGCCATGCCTGTCCCATACATGGACTATGGTCCTGTCTTCAAGGCACAGCTTTGTGCCAGTTGGCAGTCAACTTGGGATGAGCAACGTCATAACAAGCATTTCCAGATCAAACCTTCTGTTGGTCTTTGGCCATCTTGCTTCCGTAAGGATCGGAAGGAGGAAGTTGTCCTGGCAAGGCTACGCATTGGTCACAGGTTTTTATCCCATTGTTTTCTTTTATCTGGTATTGACTCACCGATGTGTAGCCATTGTGACACTCAAGTCACAATAGCCCACATTTTACTGTCGTGCCGTCATTACGACCATGAGCGCTGGCACCATTTTAGACACGCGTCTTCTAAGAGTTTACCTCTGACGTTGGACAGTGTCATTGGTAATGGTGACACTGTCTAATTAGATTGTATTTTTGATTTTTTACACACTATAGGTCTTTTTAATTGTAGATAAATCTTTTATCAACATATATATATTGGTTTTAACTCGCTGTATTTTTACATTTTACTCTAATTTACTTTCACTGTTTTTACCGGTTGTTTGGTGCAGATAGCCTCGTTGCTTAGCGCCATAAAGCACCAAACAAACAAACCAACTTTTTAATATTATTCATGTCTAATCAAAGGCTTACATTTGATCATCAAAAATTGTGACATGATATACTGTAATTTCCAATAGTAGTGTTAAGAGGAACATTATCCAAATTCTCCCAGCTAAACTCTTGGTTGTTTATTTTATTTTAACCTAACTTTATGAAAGATTATGCATGTCTCTCTGATGTCATTTGGACAGAAAGTTTAGTTATCTCATTATGAATATTTCTAATGTGGAGAAGTTACAGGAACCCTTGAGACTTTTTATACTGTGCTTTTGTTTGTTTTCACTAAATGTGTTTACTTTCATACTATATTATACAACTGGAATGTGTTACTTGTTTCTCCTTTATTGTTAAATGACTTCCTTACTCTAGCTTGTGCATGGGGCCATTATTTTAATCCATTTCTCTTTACCCTATCTTATGCAATATTTCATTTTTTTACTAATTATTTCCAAACCTATCCAATAACTTTAGGTCAGTATCCTCTCCTTAATCCAGTTTATATCAAATTGTTCAATTACAATATAACTTGTTTGTGTTAATATAAGTATTCTGATGCATGTAATATTTTAGAATAGTTTTATGAAGGGAAACTTGGATGATTATTTGGTAAGAGAAATATTACACTAACTCCTTGACTTCTATCATGATCATGTATGTTGCATAATTATGGTATTCTTCTGTGTTATGTACAATGATGTACATCATTTTAAACATACACACAATATCTAGTGCTGTAGCATACTGAAAGAAAATGTCTACTACATGTGTACGTAGATTTTAACTAAGTCATGTGACTCAGGAAATCCTGTGAAGTAATATCACAACAGCTAGAGACAACCCATGTTATTTGATGAGCTTGAGAAAACATCAGTGCAGTGCAGGTGAATATTTGTATAACACTTATGAACATTTCTGGCTACATTTACAAGCAAAAGAGGTTGTTGTACAACAAAAGGACTTAAGACATTATATTTGCTTTCTGCGTAACTCTGAAGAAACTGATGTTGATTTCGATTATTTTGAACCACATAGTGAAGATGTATGTGAGTCCTTTATTGGAATACAGTATGGACTAGTGGTGGAGGTCAGCTAGGTAGCAGAGGCAAGGGTTAGGTGTGTAGGTGATATATATTTAAAAGTCTTTTATACAAGTTGTATTTTACAACACTTTTTTTTAACTTAAGTTATTACACTCAAATTTTCTTTATGAAATAAAGCTTCTGATACACAATATGTGCAAGCAGCCACATGTGCATTCACATGCTAAGCCTTGCGATTATTTTTCATCCTAGACTGTTGTTAATCTTTTACAGTTTTGAACCAATCACTAAACACAATTGGTCTGTTTGGTTTTTATTTTAACACAAACTTACTTTGAAGCTAGATAAGTTTTAGATATGTTTTCTTATCATTCCTACTGTGTTTCACCAATTAAGATCAGAGAAATTTCACACATTTTCTAATTCTTGGTTTGACTTTGTTCTCATACACATATTTATATTCTAATTTACTAGATGTGCTTTGAGATTTGATTTTGTAAACTTCTTGAAGCCCTAAAATTCTCACATTACAGATCCAAGTACACGAAGAAGCAATCAGCTTCAAGTATTCATATTGTATTTTCATGATTCGCCGAAATTAGTCGAGACAGTCAAAATTTTTGCAAGTTTCTTAAGAAAACTCTGTGAAGTTGATGTTGTACTGGACACAGAAGAAGAGTGTGATATTCTTATCAGTCCTGAAACCTGGATTTCGAAACAGTTGACATACTTCTGTTCAAAGATAGAAACAAAGAATTGTGATGTAAAAGAGAAGAAAATCATACTTGTTGAGTCTTCAGGGGCTGTACGATGCCAAAAAGCTTTACATGAAAGAAGAGTAAGTTGTCCTTAGATGTGTATATATATACATATATCTATATAAATATATAAATCAAAAACATTCCACAATGTGACTAAAAAATCAAACATTTTTCCATTATTAGTCTTTGTTGTCATCACTAACTCATAGCAGGAAATGTTTATGGCCATAACTCCCAAACACAGATGTCAAACTAGCCAGCATATGGAGAATCAGTTAAAGATTAGGCGTTGCATGCTTGAGCCCACAACATCTCAACTCCTTTTGCTGTCTGCAGCCAGTTGCAAGAAAGCAGTTACCTTAAATATTTAAATATAATCTTAAAGTAGAAATAAACCACCCTAAATTTCTGCAATATAAAACTCCCAACCTCCACCCTTTTGATATTATAAAATGCACAAAATGGGAAATCATTCCAATAAATAAGCAAAAATATTCTTGTAGTAGGAATAGACCACCCTGTATTTCTACAATTTATAAGACTCCCAACCTCCACCATTTTTTAAAAATAATTATTACAAAATGATGTTAAAAAGAACTAAAGACCCTTACCTTAATAGTTCTGTAGTAATTACTTAAACTCCCATTCTCCTCTGTTTCTCTTGAGACAAGCCCAGCTACCTGAAGTTGGTCTTTCCATTTTGGTATACTGAACAAATCCCTAACTATTCTATGGTTAGTTACTTATAAACTAAGGATGACCTTGAGTAACTAACAACATCTGTGTTTTCCACCATAATTTTTCAATCTATTTATGAATAATTGAATATTATCCATAAAAGAATTACTATTGTTACTAATTGATAAAAATATTTTTAATTGGGAAGTAATAGGTTGTTTTAGCAGAATAGATGGTATAGCAGGTTGACCAAGGATGGGAAAATCAGATTCTCTTCTTTTATCAAAAATAGTCAACTGTACTCTGCCTTCAGACAAAATTAATGTCTATTTAATTTGCATGAATAATATTATTAATGCTTCTTTTTATTATAAGTTTCTTTGGATATGTTTGATTTGTATTAAAATTTAAGTTGTTGATAGAGATTAAATTATCTATGTAATGAAAAGTATAGCTATATAAATTATAGTTTAGTACCTGTTTCAAAAATGAATTTTCTTAGAAGAACAAATACAAGTTGGCCATGTTTGAAAAGAAATTAGCACCCATTGGAATACCCACCGTTTGTGTATACACTTGTTCATTAAAAGTAATGTAACTGTTATAAATAAAAAAACTAAGTTTATTTTTAAATTGTTGCTTAGTAAATTTAAATTTTGGAATGATTATTTCTATATCTACAAATTTACCAAGGACATAATTCAAAACCTTGATTAAATCTTTCAGATCTATTTTAGTATATAATGTAGTAAAATCATAAGTAGTAATAGAAATGGCTGTTTTTAATGAATACAAGTTGGTTAAACATTCCAAAACTGGAATGTTATTTTTAATGATCCAAAAATAATAGTCCAAATCATTTGATGACAATAACTTTATTTTTTCAAATAAGACATCTAGAATATTATTAAGTACAATAGAAATCTATTTAATAACTGTGTTTAAATAATTTGTAATAAACCTGAACTTAACAGGGGTTTTATGCAATTTTGGAATTGCATATAGAACTGGTAAGCTACAACAAAATGAATGTATATTTATATTCCATTTTTTAATGGCTTTCATCAAGTTAGTAATAATTGTATTTGTATTTAAAGTGCTTTTTGTAAATACGTTTGTTGTACTAATTTCATTAATTAAAATTTGTATATATAATCTTTTACGTACAAAACCAAAATTACAACCAGTTTTATCAATAGGAGTAATAATAAATTGTTCTTGGATGTCTCAAATTTTATTTTTTTTAATATTGAAAGAAATATCTGTCATATATTTAGATTAGGTTTTAACTGTTTTTTTATGGAATTAATAAAAAATAGTTTCCATACAAAAAAAGAAACATGGAGAATACTGAGATTTTTTACTGATTTTAATAATGTAATCATAAATTTTTTTCAAATCTAGTAATCTTTTTATAAAATCAATTTTAAATCCTTATCTTTCATAACCTCTAAATTACCTGTAACAATATGATTATGAAAAAGTCAATAAAATCATTGTTGATACAGTTGTAAGTTAATTTATCAGTTTCTTTTGGTTTTAATTCCTGAATAAATTTTTTGTAGTTAAAAAAGAAGAGGTCCTCTAGGTTTATTGTATTTAAAACTAACTATAAGTTGTAATTATTTGATGGGAAATATTTCTTCTTGAACACTTTTATGAATTACATACAGTAGAGATAAATCATAATATTATTTATGCTTGAAATCTATTACTATATAAGATATTTCTTTTTTGTTTAGTGAAATATTCATTGGAATTCCATTTTAATCTAAATTTGAATATATCTATAATTAAATCTTTAATATGAATGTTTAAATTCAAAATTTAACATACATTTTGACAAATATTAAAGTTTTGTATAATTTAATTCAAATAATTGTTTTACTATACATTTCAGGATATTAGTAGATCTGTCAAAAAGAAGATGCTCAAGTTTTACAAAAATTATCAAAATTAATCCATTTTTTTCTATTTTTGCCTTTAACCATAATTTTATACTGTTTAACATTATAATTATTTATCTGAAGTAAATGTTCAATTCATAAAGACACAAATGGCAATCCTTTACATCTCCGTTAAATCAAACTTTTGGTTTACTATGCCCTCTCAGCTTTGTCACTTACTACTCGCGAGGTTTTATCCCTTGTCTTCCATGTGGTCTTCCATGAATGTACTAGTCCCTCACTGTCGTACCCATATGAGATCCCTTCAGTATGCACTTCATGAACATTGAAACCTCGCTCAGGATCCTCTTTGTACCCCTATTTCACTTCCTACTTCTCTGCAAGACGATTTGCAATGGTGGCAGGACAAATCCCATTTGTCGGCGGACGTGGCATTTCCTCTCTGGCATCCAGATCTACATCTTTTCATGAATGCATCCCTTTAAGGATGGGAGCATGGGTCAGTCACCAGGAAGCTTCAGGTCATTGGCCTGTGGATGAAACCATCTTGCATATCAATGTTCTCGAACTTTTAGCAGTACATCGGGCATTGCATCACTTCCTTTTTCTTGCCCATCATTGTCTGGTGATAGCTCATTTGGACAATTCTACAGTAGTGGCACATACCAACCACCAAGGGGGCACCCAGTCCAGAGATCTATGTTTAAGGACATTGGATCTATTATACTGGGCCCATGCACATTACATTCACCTTATAGTGCCTTCAGTCTTGTCTGCCCCGACCAGATATATCCAACAAAATGGGAATTAGATTTACTCATTTTCAGGGATCTTTGTCATCGGTAGGATTTTCCACACTTGAATGCCTTTGCCACGAACCTCAGTATTAAGTTGCTCCTCTTTTAATCACCAATACCACATCCACAGGCTTTGGTAGTTGATGCCTTCAGCCAGCATTGGTCACGCAAATATCTTTATATGTACCAATTGCTTCATTGGGTGATTTCTCTTGTCCACTTCTTGTTGGGTCCTCCTGATTGATCCCTATTGGCCAGTTCAACCTTGGTTTTCAAGGTTATAACATCTGCTCCTACCACCACCTGTCCCACTTCCACTTTCTCCATCCCTTCTTCGTCAACCTCGATCCCACATTCTACATCCCACTTTTCACATCTTGCATCTTCACATCTGGCTTTTGTCTAGTCCTTGGTGAAATGATCGAGTTTTGCACAAGTGACTTTTGCACAAGTCACTTCCTTGTTAGCTAGTTCCATACAGCCATATTCTATTTAAGTATACTAATGCAAGTGGAAAGTCTTCCACTGTTGGTCTGCTAACAGGTTTTTATTTTGGTGACAATCCTTCTGTGGCTTGTGTGGCAAAATTTCTCACCTGGCTCTTCGGTCTCCTCACTTTTCAGATATTGGGTGGCCCTATCTCATACCATCCATTTTTCCTGATACCTTCAGGTTTTTACTTCTCCTGTTCTTACCATGATACATTGACTTCCCAGGCATCCTGCCCTTCCAAATTGGGATATTAATGTGGTCCTCCATGCCCTTACTTTACCTCCATTTGAACCACTTTCCTCATGTTTCTTGTTTCATCTGCTCTTTAAAACATACTTCCTTCTCTTAGCCTGTGGATGTCGATAGTCATATTTGTTTTTCATTGGTGTTTCATGTATCCTTTATCACCCTACCTATGTTCTCCTTTATCTCGATTGTACCTTTCTCCCTAAGACCTCGGCAGCTTGGGAGGATTAGTCATCCTTTTCTCCTTCCTTATATATCACATCTTTATCCTCGACCAGATCTGGATAGGCTTTTTTTGTTGTGTAGCACATACTGCTACCTTTCAGATATGTGCAACAAACTTTTTATCCCATGGCAATCTTCCTCCCTTTGTGATCTTTCACCTTCTACCCTAATTGGGTCTGCCTTTTGGTTCATTTGGCCTACTTTTACCTACCTTCTTCCTCCCATACATTGTTCCAGGTTTCCTCCCATCAGATCCGACATCTTACTTTTTCCCTTGCTTCTCATCTTTGTCATCTGATGGAGGAGATTCTACAGTCCAGCATGTGGACACTCCCAGTACTTTCATCTTCCACTATCTTCATTATGTTGCACTTTTCTTTTTGCTGGGGTCTTGTCTACAACCTGTGCTCATTCTCCAGACTTCAGTGTAACTTTAACTTGTAAGTTTTATTCATTCTTTTTTTTTCAGGAGCCTTTGTCTCAGTTTTATCACATGGATCCTGCTATGTGGTGAGATGTGCCTGACCAGATATTCTTTAACTCTAAATCTGTACAGTCATGTTGACTTATGCTTTATTTTCCAGCGCTTCACACACTCACCATCAAGTTGGGGTGTTCCACAAGATTGCTTCACAGTGAATAAACTTGCAATATTTTGCTTCATAAACATGCCTGTACTGGACCGTACCATCCATGGACTGCATGAGTAAAGCAGTAGGGGATTGTTGCCCA